CCAGATATGTAGATATATATATATATATATATATATTTACAGATGTTGTTTAATTTTTCTTTTGTTGTAATGATACATACTTAGTTTATTGAAGGTAAATATTTATTTTGTATATTTGAAGTGTTGGACAATTGTGCTCTTCATGTTTTATATTATATTTTGTTTATTGATTCTTAACATAAATTATATTTATTATAGTTTTCGGTGTGTACTTGTATCAGTTACTTATTTTTTTTTCTTACAATAGTTTATGATGTAACTAACAGGACTAGTTTTCAGAAGCTTGATATTTGGCTAAATGAACTTGAGACCTACTCTACAAGGTCTAATGTTGTGAAAATGTTAGTAGGCAATAAAATTGATAAGGTAAGTTGCTGCTTAATTCATTTTTGTGGCTATTAAATAAAGTGTGTTTTTCAAGTATTAATTTTTTTTTTTTAAGTGAGATGGTTTCATAAGTTTCAGCACAGGTTGAAAATTGGTTGTGTTTTAAGGGAAATAAAATAAGAATATACTTTAATGTAAAGAAATTGCAGAAAAAATTATTTTGTTCACATAGAAATAACAATTACTGTACAAAAAATTGTATTAATTTGTATTTATGATGTGGATTCACTTGAAAGGAAACACTTTTTCACAAATTATCCAGTAGTTTTTAAAATTTTATTGAGCACTTTATTATTTACAAATTAATGTTACAAAAAATGTGGGATATATATCTGTGTGTGTATATGATAACATAGCTCATGTAATATGTACATTGTAGTCAGGTTAATTAAACCAGATGTACATACCTTTCTGCCCAAAATTTTACAAATGGATAATAAGTATATATATTATGAGTGGAAACTTATTGATACTACTGACTGAACAGTAAACAAGAAGAGTGGAAATTTGTTCTGCATATGGTTGTTATGGAAAATATTCCATAGTCATAGTTGGTAATGAATAGGCAATTTATTCATTGTTCTATCATACTTAAGTTATGGAAGGAAACAAGGATATTGTACTAAATTTACATGATAGAAACAAATGGAAACTTGTGAACTTGAAATGTAAGATCTACACTTTCAAAAGTCAAGGTCTAGAATTTTTTTTTGTGTAGTATGTGGTTTGTTGATCACTTTCTGAGTCATTTACTGTAATAATTGTTACAGAGATTTAAGTTCTGTCTTTTAATGTCTTGAGAAGATGCTGGCCTACAAGTTTTACAATAAAATTCAGAATGTGGGTACTTAAATTACCCATGTTGGTAATCAAAAGGTTAAACATATCAATCTTTAAGTTGAATTTCTAGTAAGGTAGTATTTTAAGTTTTGTTACAATTAGTGTTAATGAAAGGTAACTTATGTTTTTAGATCTGTATATAATGAAACACTTTTTTTTTTAACTGAAACAACACTCTCAACAATTTTTGAACCATGACTTCATAAGAATGCCTACTTTAAGTTGGTAGGATTAAAAGTAAATGATTTTATTAATTTCTAAAGGCTAGACTTAAATTAGAATCCTCTGATATGTTTATATTTTCTTATAAATTATAAGCTTAAAGTATGAGTACATTTTATAATTTACTCATCAATGTCTGTTAAAAAAAAAAGAAAGAAAAGTTTCCTCTAGCTCTCAAACTGTTGATGACAAATATTCCAACATGTCCCTTAATTGCAGTCTGGGAGAAGGTTTGTTTACGTAAATTATTGTTTTAAAAAGGTTTAAGGATTTTTTTTATTTGTCATACAAATATTTCTATATAGTCTTTCCAAACATATCTAGGAAAATAGAGAGGTTACTCGAGAAGAAGGAATAAAATATGCACGTAAACATTCCATGTTATTTATTGAGGCTAGTGCTAAAAGATGTGATGGAGTACAGTGTGCTTTTGAAGAATTAGTAGAAAAGGTTAGTTGCACAGTGTTTTCTTGAACAATATTTATATATATATATATATATATATGTTGTTGAATGAGTTAAAGATTTCTTACTTTCCTGTATGAATGAATGGCAGTTAAAGTAACAGAATTAAATATTTTATTTTTATGTAAAGAATTAAGTGTTTCTTGGAGCATTTTTTATGTCACTGTAATTGAAAGATATTGTTGATCAGTGTGTAGTAGTCTGTTGCATGTATTAACTTCGGTTGATAAAAAAAAAGGAAAAAATATATTAAACAATTAAGAAAAAACATTTATTATTTGATAATATATATTTTGATATTTATGTATATTTCAAATATAAGGAAATTACAGGAAAGCAATCATACAAAAAAATGCTAAAATACATGACAGAATATTCTCCACATGCCTGAGAAGGGGGCTGAACAAGAGTGAACATGAAACGACAACATGATAAATCTCTTGATTTAACATGGCAGTAACAGGATTGCAGTAATACATGTGTTTCTCCAACGTGAGGAACATTTTATTAAATGATCTGCTAAAATTCCCTTACTCATTTTGCAAACAGCTCTGAGAGAGTGCTAGTAGAGCTGACTAGTCAAAATACTTGGGTGATTCAGAAATTTTACCAGTTACCTAGAAGATATTTTAAATATGCACATCAAAACTAGATGTGGAAAAATACCAAAAGTCGGAGTAATATCAAACTTATGAGGTGAAGCTAATGAGGATTACCATTCTTAACAGCCCTTCCACTAATTTGCAAAAAAACAACAGAAAATCCAGGATTTCTAGGGCATTAGTTTTAGTTTTGGAAGTCTTATTCATAAACTTGGAGGTCAGGTGTCAGAAACTGGTACCATATGCTAAATGTCTTCATAGACTTTTTCATATTGCTTGTTCCAAATAAGATCATTTGGAGTGGAAACCTGTTTATTGTTTGTACAATTTTGCTTGGAATGTGTTTAAGTGTTATGAACAGTGTCAATGTGTTTTGGGTATTTGAAGGAGTAATAAGAATAGGTGAACAAACATATGATGTCTTGCAATGCCAACAGTAGAGATTGACTGGCAAAGGTTGCTATTTACTTTTGTGATTCTTACAAGTGAATCACGAGGAATTGAAAGACAATTCGAATTTTTCAAGGATTGCAGCAATAAAATAGGGCCATTTTGAAACTGAACATTTTTGTATGGGATTAAAGAATAGAAGTCCAGAGGAGTTCTTCACATTAAAATTTTGGTATTTAAAGGCATATAATACACCAGATCATCCACTAATGGCAGTGTTGCTTAATAATAGCATAAAGAGATATTTCTCAAGGTCTTCCATCATTGGACAAGACTTGAAACTTTTGACTGAGATAACCAACTTTTGAAATGTAAAGGAAATTGTAAGGCAGACAAATGTTGAGTAGTTTTATATAACATCATTTTTTTTATTTGTAGGCATACAAAGGTGCATGACATATGCTTTGTGGGAATCAGAAGGTAACATTTATTATTCTGCCAAGGTCTTTAACAAGTTTACAAATTAAAAAATCAGCTTTGGAAAGCTGTTACAGTGGTAGTAAAGCAAGAATTTCATGTTTTTTTCTTCATGTGTGGGATTTCATATACACATCATCATTTCTTTGAAAATCCTTTATATTGCTAATTTTTTTAAAAGACTTAACTACTAAATAATGTCGATTTAGTGTCATATAAACAAGTAATCACTTTATTCGGCTCTTTTTTTGGGAACTTAGAAACAAGCAATTTGTACCATTGTCTTTAGTCATGGGATAGCTGTGGGTTGGGGTTTAAAAAATATGATAATCTATTAAAGTATGTCATTTCAAGTGTAGTACTTGAATAAATTATCATCGTTTGAAAACCTTCACATACACCATACATAAGCTGAATACTGAATCCAAACAAAAAATAAATTATTTTGTTGTGCATCATATGCCCAACCCATTTATAACTGACAGAGAATGTTGTGTTAATACATAGGTTGGGTATATAACAGAAATATGTTCAGAATGGAAGTAAGGTAAGTATGACTAAATGACAATAGTAAATTAATAATAAATTTGACCTGATAACTTGATCCATGTACATTAAAATAAAATACACACACAAACACTTTACTATCAGTACATTTTTAAGGTTGTGTCTAGGAATGAGAGAGAAAGAGAGGAAGGCAGTTGAAAGTACATGGGATTGGTTGTAATGTATGATGTGATAAGCATACTTACAATGTTCTTTGTTGATCAGTTGATGTTGATTTCTGTCCTCCGTGAATATAGGCATATTTAATTTCACAGTAAATGAGGTTAAGCGTAAATTTCCATAGTAGTTTATTAATGTTAATTGTGTCCTAGTTCTGTTGTTTCATTTCGAAAATTATGTTAAATATCATTTACAAAAAGTATGTACTGCTATCTGTAATTCTTTGCATGATTTAAACTTTCTTTCTTCAAAGACGACATAAGACTGTTAAAAGAAACATTCTTTTGTAAGGGAGGAAGTGGTAGAGTAAGTTTCCATTAGATATGAGGTTAGTGCAAGTGAAAATATTTTGGTACAAGTAAGATGTTATTTCTACTTGCAGCAGACGCAATGAATTTTTTCTGGTAATTTTGAAACCTGAGTTATGCATTGGATATCATGATTTCATTTATTATTTAAGCTTTTCCAGTTGATTTCTAAAGGAAAATGAATTAAATATTTTTTAAGCCTAACAAGTGTTTTAAATTATATTTAATTGCTGGTTTTTTCTTTACATTCTAATAATTCCCCAAAAGCACTATTGTTTCATCATTTTAGGTGATTTACAAGCCTAAAACACTTCAATACTTTCCTAGCTTAGGCAGATTATGTTACATCATTTAATGTGTTTCTTTTAATTGTGGTTCTTATAGATTATTCAAACACCAGGATTGTGGGAGACTGACAAACCAACAAACTTAAGGCTAAGTGATAGCACATTGCCACAACACTCTGGTCAGTGCGGAGGTTACTGTATTATATAATTATTACAGTTAGATATAAACATATCGCCATTCCAATGGACCAGTCTAAGATCCACCAGTATCTGTTACTGTCAGCAGATGAATGATGTGCAAGAATAACCATGTGATGCTGCTTTTTTTTTGTAAGAGATTAAAAGTGACTTCTCTTGTGGTGAGATTTCAAATTTCAAGACAAGTCTTGCTTATCATTACTGACCAACAGGTTATGTTCTTTCTGAAAAGAACCTGTTTTCATGAACTAAAAAGACTCAAACATATGCATAGTAGATTTCTTTCAGATAGTATTGGATAAAAAATAATGAAGCTGTGGTTTTCAGGTTATGAATTTTGCAGATCCTTAGTAGATGCCATTCAATCAATTGCCATATAAAGTGTCTGTATACTTTAAGTCTCTAGTCATACCTACCTTGTTTTGTAGATTATGTATTAAGACTGTTTTTAATTGTCATTTCTCTGTGGAACCCTATAAATCTGATGGTGAACCATACAATAATAATATATATTGCCTTGGGACAAAGAAAGGTATAGTTGTTGTACACTACTGTATATTTTTAGCCTGCATTTCATTTTAAAAATAAAATTAAACTGTAGATCATTTAATTGAAATAAAGCCCTATATTTGAAGAATAAATAATATTGATCAGAGACAGACAACCAGAAAAATATTTTAATGAGCTACACAATGTTTTGGGTGGACAACCTTTCTTGGGCTAACTTAAAACTGTTCAAGACAGTACTGGATAAGTATTAAAATAGATAAATTAGAGGTTTCTGAGTGGATGGGTTAATATCATACTACAAGAGTTTTATGTTAATTGTATACACAAGAGACAGTGTATTTGCCCAAAAATGTTTAGTGTACTGAAATTGTAAAATAATATATTAAGAAAAATAAAATTTCTAACAGTTGAGTCAAAAGTAATATTAATTTAGAATGTGCAATAAAGTGTAGTAAGGTGTGTGTTATTTTTGTATAGCTATTTGACATTAAGTAGGAATTTGGCCTCAGTGAAGAAAATAAATATACCTAGCATATATATATGGCAGGTCATGTTTATGCATTAATCCAAGGTAATTTTGTTGTATATTTTTATGACATGTTAAGTTAAAAGAAGTTATAAGTAAAAGTAAAGAAGTTATTTTATGTATTAGCTAACCTTTTTTATGTTTTTACAGTTTAGAAAATATTTATACGAATTCACGTGATTTTCATATTTAGTTTTTAATCCAAGAATTAGATTTATGAAATCCGTTGTTTAGTAAGAAATGATTTTTACTTTCAAGATTCTATTCCAAATTAGTATGTGAATATTTTATACAGTCTTAGTGTGTTCGTTTTAGCATCACTTAACTAATTTATATTAACTTCTATGTCTTTGTTAGAGTAACGAGATGGAAATTTTTTCACCAACGTGATAATATTTTCAACTGTCAAACAAAAATTTCTTTGTAGAAAATTATATTACTAGATGAAAAAATTGAAGCCTTCTTACAAATTGGTAACTATTTTCATATTTAGGAGAATGTATACTTGCTAATTATTAGTAGATTCATATAAGAATCAGTAGAATTGCATCTAGTAGATTTGAGTGAACACTTGTGCATCTCGTTCATCAGGAATTAAGATTGAGATGTTTTGAGGTCTTGAAAAACACACAATTCTGTCTTATAATTTTGTATTTGGTTAAGTGTAGAAGCCCAAGTAAAATCATTCAAGTTAACCTTTTAGGTATCTTAGATCTCACTTTCTTTGTAATATTCAGAGGTTATATAAATTTTATTTTCATGATTTTATTCAAAAATAATGATTTTTGCTATAAAAATTTTAAAACTGATATTTTGTATATTTGCATTTTTTTAACATACCATTTTTACTTCTACTTATTCTATATTTTGAATCTTATACAGTATCAGTTATCAGCAGAAGTTTTTATATATTTTTTTATTTCTAAGTGTGCTATTGGTAATACTAACTTTGACATTTCTGTTTAAGTCTTTTAAATTTGAATGAGTAAAGCTCTAAGAGTTTGTCCACAGAAAATGGCAGAAAGAATGATGACAACTGCAAAAAGGTTTTGTTACACATGATTATATATTTGTTTTAGTCAATGCAAGTAAGTGCATTTACAGTTATCAGTATTAATTCACAGATGCATGATAATTTAAGGTACTGATAACATAGTAACATTCACAAAAAAATTACTTAACAGGAAAAATACTGGGAATTTTCCCCCTATACTTGTAATGTTCATGATTAATGATGTCGAATGGGAATTATACTTTTTTTTTTCCAACTAGTATTAATAAGTTGAACTTAAGTGCTTCCATTTGGGCATATCTTGAATGAATTTTAGGGTTAGCAAATTGCTGGTACTTAGCGTACACATAACTTTTGTTTCAAAAGTAAAAATGCTACAAATACTTTTGAAAAAACAAACAAAAACAGTGTGGAACTTTATTTGCAGACATGTAGACCCTAAACTACGAACTTTAGTCGAGTTGACATCACATTGTCATTTATTAGTGACTGCAACTCATTTGTTTTTAATGACAGTATATTCAGGACTTCCTAATTCTCCAACCAGTACTTTATCATTAGAGTATTTACTGTGAAGAAAGAATCAAATTGCTGCAAACAGTATTGATGGTTATGCTCGAGATGCGCAAACTTGGACATCTTACAGTACCTGGGAATGGGCAGTTTTTAAGAATTGTTCCCATACAATCTCCCATCTGATTCTTCATTATGAAGGAAAGTTTTAAATACATCAATATGAAATTGAACTGAGTCAAAAATGAACAAACATTGATAAAGCATTTACGATATATATTGTTACGTCTCCGTTTGTTAATTAACTTCACGTAACTTCGTTCCGACGAAACTTTAGCGACACAAGTATTTA